CTCTGTCTCCCTCATCTCTGTCTCATCTCTGTCTCTGTCTCTGTCTCTCTCTTTCTCTCTCCCCTTCCCCCATCTGTCTGTCTGTCTCTGTCTCTTTCTCTGTCTCATTGAAAATCTCTCTCTGTCTTGCTCTCCATTCATATACATATATATATATTAGCTATTGTAGTATTATTATCATTATTATTGAGGGAGCTAGATAGTATAATGGAGAGAGTGTCATACTTGGAGTCAGAAAGACACAAGTTCAAATCCTGCCTTTCACACTTCCTAGCTAGCTGTGTGACCCTACACAAGTCACTTAGCTTTTCTATGCCTCATTTTGCTCATCTTTAAAATGACGAAGGTCCCTTCTTACTCTGAAACTCTGATGCTCTGGTCCCCAGCTCTTGCCGTGGCTGTGACCCGCTCATCTTCTTTCCCATTCTTGTAACATTCTTTAAAGCAGTGATGTGGCACTCAAATAGAAGGGAGACCGTTAATCCCTACGGGCCGCATTTTGACTTAGCTTTAAAATGTAATGTTCTCTATGTTTTTATTTGTGTGTTAAATATTTCAGTTACATTTTCATCTGGTTCAGGTCTTGCTGACACCTCTGCTTTAAACCACTGCTCTTGTGCTGTTCTCTGGAATGTCCGCAGCCTCTCAAGCTCACCACACACCCCTCTGTTGTGACCACAGCTTTAATTCTTGGAAAACTGTAATGCTTCATGCCTCACAGTCATACAGCACGACTCTTCTCTAGAAGAGTTTTATTTTGGGAAAGATGGGCTGTTGTTCCAGGGAGAAGCTTGGGTCATTTAAAAGCCCTGCTGAATTTCCCAAAAATATTCAGTTTGCTCTCATCCTCTTCTTCTCCTCCTCTTCCTCCTCCTCTTTCTCCTCCTTCTCTTCCTCTCTTCCTCCTCTTCCTCTCTTCCTTACTTCTTCCTCCTTCCTTTCCTCACTTCTTCCTTCTCTTCTCCCTCTTCTTCCTCTTTCTCTCAGTTCCAGGCCTGGAATGGCCCATTTCCATCCAACATAAGGAAGCAGTGTATTTCAGGAGTAAGAGCATTGCTCTGGAATCAGAATCCCTGGGTTCAAATCTTACCTCTGCAGCTTGGAATGCTTGCCCTCCTCCTATCAGTCTCTTGGCTTCCTTTCCTGTCTCAGCTAAAATTCCACCTTCTACAAGAAGCCTGTCCTGATCCTCCTTAATTCTAGTGCCTTCCCTCTGCTTATTACTTCCAATTTATCCTGTCTATATCTTATTTGTATAGAATTATTTGCATGTTTTCTCCCCCATTCATGAGCTCCTTGAGAGTAGGGATTGTCTTTTTTTACATTTTTAAATTTATTTCATTAAATATTTCCCAAATGACAATGTAAAAAAAATTGTAACATTCAGTTTTAAAAATTTTAAGTTCCAAATTCTCTCCCTCCCCCTCCCCCCTCCTTGAGAAGGCAAGCAATTTGATATCAATTCTACATATGAAGTCATGCAAAACAAATTTCCGTATTAGCCACATTGCAAAAGAAAACCGAAACTGAAGGAAGGAAGGAAGGAGGGAAGGAAGGAAGGAAGGAAGAAAGAAAAAAAGAAAGAAAGAAAGAGAGAAAGAAAGAAAGAAAGAGAGAAAGAAAGAAAGAAAAAGAGAAAGAAAGAAAGAGAAAGAAAGAAAGAAAGAAAGAAAGAAAGAAAGAAAGAAAGAAAGA